AAGGGTCCCCGATGTCCCTTGGGGACATTCCGGATCCGTGTCCCCTGGGGTCCCCGGTGTCCCCTGGGGACATTCCGGATCCGTGTCCCCGCGGGTCCCCCGGGGGGTGGCGGGGAGGGGACAAGGACCCACCTGGGGTGTCACCGGTGGCCGAGGGTCCGGTGCCACTGGCGGGGCCGGGCCGCGCTACCTGACGGACAGCTGTGACGAGAGAGACACGGGAGGGGACATCAGGGCCACCACCCCGGCTGGCACCGGGGGACCCCGAGGTGACACCGGGGTGGCACCAGGGTGGCACTGGGGGGACCCTGAGGTGGCCCCGAGGTGACACCAGGACTCTGAGGTGGCCCCGAGGTGACACCAGGACTCTGAGGTGGCCCCGAGGTGGCCCCGGGGGGACCCTGAGGTGGCCCCGAGGTGGCACCGGGGGGACCCCGACCCCAGGAGGGGGCACGGGACCGGCCCCGTCACTGAGGGGGGGACACGGGGGTGGCCTTGGGGACACCGAGGTGGCCGTGGGGACACGGGGGTGGCCCTGAGGACGTGGAGGTGGCCTTGGGGACGTGGTGGTGACCATGGGGACACCGAGGTGGCTGTGGGGACACTGAAGTGGCCGTGGGGACATGGTGGTGGCCATGGGGACATCAAGGTGGCCGTGGGGACACGGGGGTGGCCTTGGGGACACTGAAGTGGCCGTGGGGACATCAAGGTGGCCGTGGGGACACGGGGGTGGTGCTGGCCCTGGGCTGGGGGGGGGTGGGGCAGTGTCACCTCTGCCCTGAAATGTCCCTCTGGTGTCACCCCAGGGGTGGCCCTGTCCCCTCCGGGGGTCACTTTGTCCCCTCAGGGGTGGCCCTGTGTCCCTCCAGGAGTGGCCCTGTCCCTTCCAGGGGTCACTTTGTCCCTTCCAGGGGTCACTTTGTCCCCTCAGGGGTCACTCTGTCCCCTCTTGGGGTCACTCTGTCCCCTCAGGGGTCACTTTGTCCCATCTTGGGGTCACTCTGTCCCTTCCAGGGGTCACTCTGTCCCCTCTTGGGGTCACTTTGTCCCCTCAGGGGTCACTCTGTCCCCTCTTGGGGTCACTCTGTCCCCTCTTGGGGTCACTCTGTCCCCTCAGGGGTCACTCTGTCCCCTCTTGGGGTCACTCTGTCCCCTCAGGGGTCACTCTGTCCCTTCCAGAGGTCACTCTGTCCCGTCTTGGGGTCACTTTGTCCCCTCAGGGGTCACTTTGTCCCCTCTTGGGGTCACTCTGTCCCTTCCAGGGGTCACTCTGTCCTCTCAGGGGTCACTCTGTCCCCTCTTGGGGTCACTCTGTCCCCTCAGGGGTCACTCTGTCCCTTCTTGGGGTCACTCTGTCCCCTCAGGGGTGGCCCTGTCCTCACAGGGGGTGGCCCTGTCCCCCTCACATCCCCCTGGGGGTCACTTTGTCCCCTCAGGGGTCACTCTGTCCCCTCTGGGGTGGCCCTGTCCCCTCCGGGGGTCACTCTGTCCCCTCCAGGGGTGGCCTTGTCCCAACTGGGGGTGGTCCTGTCCCTCCAGGAGTGGCTCTGTCCCCTCCGGGGGTCACTTTGTCACCCCTGGGGGTGGCCTTGTCCCCTCCGGGGGTCACTCTGTCCCCCCGGGGGTGGCCCTGTCCCCTCTGAGGTCACTTTGTCCCCCCCCAAGTGCCACCACGTCCCCCCCAGGGGTGGCCTTGTCCCCCCCCCGCGGCCCCCGGAGGTGACAGGAGCCCCCCAAACCCCCCCGGGGGGACCCAAAGACCCCCCCAAAACCCCCAGAGACCCCCACAAACCCCCCCAGGACACCCATAGACCCCCAAATCCCCCCCGGGGCCCCCAAATCCCCCCCAAATCCCCCCCAGGGACACCCATGGACCCTCAAATCCCCCCCAAATCCCCCCCAGGGACACCCATAGACCCTCAA